CCTTCCTTCCTTCCTTCCTTCCTTCCTTCCTTCCTTCCTTCCTTCCTTCCTTCCTTTCTTCCCTCCCTCCCTCCCTCTCTCCCTTCCTTCTTTTCTTTGAGACAGTTCTCTCTGCTAGGTAGCTCTGGCTGACTTGGAATTCACTCTGTAGACCAGGCTGGCCTTGTACTCACAGAGATGGGCCTGCCTCTGCCTCTTAAATGCTGGCATTGATGGTGTCAGCCACTATGCCTGGCTGTTAGCATCTTTTGACTTGTGTCCCTACTGTGCTGAGATTGCATTCCATGCTGTGATGATTCCCTGTGTTCCTACTATGCTGAGAAAGAAGTTCACAGTTGTGTCTGGGAAGTGCTATGGAAGTGAGTAAAAATCTACTACAGGCATATGTGGAAAGAAGCTTTGCTGGGCAGTGGGTTCCAGGACTGCCAGAGCTGTTACAAAGGAAAAACCGTATCTTGAAAACACAAACAAGTCTTGTAAACAGCCTTTCCTATGGGTATCTAAAATGATCCAAATCTCGAGGAGTGGGTGGGAAGGGTAGAGGGAGAGGGAGCCCTAGGAACCTCAGTCTGCTCTTCAGCATGAAAAAACAGGTCTCCCTTCCCACATTTTTGGTGTTTAGGGGGTCTACAATTTTGGAGATAAGCTGTGGCCAAGAGCTGAATTTGTGATCCGAGGACTAGGTGGGTCTTTGGCAGTAATACAAGCAGTGCTCACCATCTTTCCGCCTGTTGCCCGCATGTGATGCTGCTCAGCCAGCCAGTGCTTGTCCTGAGGATCTGCTGCATACTGTGAGGGATAAAGTTAGTGGGGAACACGTTACAGGTGTGTACACCAGGGGCTCACAAATCACTACAGTGCAAACTGAACCAACCCTGAAGCCCGAGGTTGCAGAGATTGGGTACGTGTCCATTCTCCCCGAAGCCCCCTTTCTTAGAGTACAGCATCTCTGGAAACAAGTGACAATTATTTTACAGCCTATTTAAAAATAATCACAGGAGCCTTTTAACACCTATAATTTACAGGGTCAATGTTTTCTTTATTTTTGGTTTCTGACAGGGTATCACTACATAGCCCAGGCTAGGATTTATTCTGGATCCCCCTGTCTCTGCTTCTGAGTACTGGGACTATAAGCATGTGTTAGCATGTGGTAAGACCATATTTTCTAAAACAAGAGTCAAGAAACAGCACCATGTAAACCACCTGGTTTGAGTTCAAAGTCAAAGACAAGTGAGGTTTAAATTAAACTTCCTACTACTGTGTAGAAGACAGAAGTATGGGTGGCAATTTCCTCCAGTAGTTTCCTCATTTGTAAAATGGAGAGTGATACCACCAGACATAAAACTATGCCTGTAATCCTAATATTTGTGAGATGAAGCAGGAGGATCTTGAGTTCAAGGTTGCCCTCAACTTATGGTGGACTGAAGGTCTGTCTGAGCTAACTAAGACCTTGTCAAGAGAGAGTCAGCGTTTATTTGACAGGGTTCTTGTTAGAAACACATAATAGTGTAAAGTGCTAAAATGCAATGTATGACACACAAGTGCTCAAAATAGCTAGGTCATAAATCAGGCAGGCGGTTTAGATAGAGAAGTGACTGTTAGTGTGAAGGTGGGGGCTTGCTGGATGGCCCGGGTTAGCCTTGAATTTGTGACAGTACCTTTGCCTCTGCCTCTCTGGGATCACAAGTACCTGTCACT